TATATACCGCTTCATAGAGCTTTCAGCCCTCTCTAAGCGGTCAGCATATCGCCCCCAACAATCTGGGTCCTCATTTTACCCACCTCGGAAGGATGGAAGACTGAGTCAACCCTGAGCCGGTGAGATTTGAACAGCCGAACTGCAGCTAACAGTCAGCTGAAGTAGCCTGCAGTGCTGCACTCTAACCACTGCGCCACCTTGGCTCCTCCTGAAGGCCATCAGAGTGGGTATGGTCCGGATTTCCCGGGGGAGCTGGTTCCAAAGAGTCGGAGCAGCCACAGAGAAGGCTTTCCTCCCAGGGCCCACCAGCCGACATTGTTTGGCCGACGGCATCTGAAGGAGGCCCAATCTATGGGATCTCACTGGCCGCTGGAAGGTGGGAGTCCTCAACTTACAGCCGCCATCCAGCCCATGGGTTCTGTGGCTAAGCGAGACAGGGGTTCGGAGGATTTGGCCCCCCTCCTACGACTTCTCTCTCTCTCTCTCTCACCCCGGTGGTTAAAGGGGAATCGCTGTGGTTGTTAAGTGAGGGAGCAGGTTGTTAAGCAAATCCTGCTTCTCCCCTCCCTTGACTTTGCTTGCTGGAAGGGCATCCAGTGGCCTTGGGACCTTGCAACGGTCGCTAAGGGAACTGTCGTAAGTCGAGGGCTGCCTGTACTGTGGGGCTGCCCTTGAAGAGTCTCCAAATGGATGCTTCAGCTGGGGCAGAATGCACCGATAGAGACAGTTAGGTATACAGGTAGTCCTCGACTTACAACAGTTCTTTTAGTGACCAAAGTTACGACAGCATTAAAAAATGACTTCCCATCGTTGTTGCTGCATCTCCATGATCATATGATTGAAATTTGGATGTTTGGCAACTGACTCACATATATGACCATTGCATATATCTTGGGGTCACGGGATTCTCTCTTGCGACCTTCTGACAAGCAAAGTCGATGGGGAAGCCAAATTCACTTAACCACCGTGTTAGTCACTGAACCAGCTGCAAGGGTTCGCTTAACAACGGGGGCAAGAAAAGTCGTAAAACGAGACAACCTCGCTTAGCAAACGTCTCGCTTAGCACCATAAATGCAGGGCCCGATTGTGGTCGTAAGTCACTCCCAGATTTGCTTCTCCGGCCCAATTCAAAGTGCTGGTTTTAACCTTTGAAGCAGGGGTCTCTAACCTGCTGGCTGGGGGATTCTGGGAGTTGGAGTTCACAAGTCTTAAAGTTGCTGAGGCTGGAGACCTCTCCTTGAAAGGACTTAATTGGCAAGGTAGGCGGTTTACTTGACGGTCCACCTCTCCCTGTCTATGAGACAGGCCGATGTAATCTCTTGTCTGGACAGGTCCTTGTCTGAAATGGTATAGCACCATGATGATGAACCAATGGCACACATCGAGTCATATTTGCTGCCACACCAGCCATAAGTTCATTTCCAAACTTCTGGTTGGCTCGTTGGGGGCGTTTTTCGCCCTCCCCAGCCTCCGGAGGTTTTCCTGAAGCCTGGGGAGGGCAAAATAGCAATAGCAATAGCAGTAGACTTATATACCGCTTCATAGGGCTTTCAGCCCTCTCTAAGCGGTTTACAGAGAGTCAGCATATTGCCCCCAACAATCTGGGTCCTCAAATCAACCAAAAATCAACCTAGGAAAAGCTTTGTTAAGTTAAGTTAAGACAAGGAGATAGTTTCAATCTAATTCTGAATGGGGTCTCTCTCTCTGTCTCTCTCTCTGTCTCTCTCTCTCTGTCTTTGTGTGTGTGTGTGTGTGTG